GATGATGATGATGAGGAGGAGGAGGAGGAGGAGGAGGAGGAGGAGGAGGAGGAGGAGGAGGAGGAGGGAGGAGAAGGACGAGCGGGAGGAGGACGAGGAGGAGGAGGAGGAGGAGGAGGAGGAGGAGGAGGAGGAGGAGAAGGAGGAGGAGGAGGAGGACGAGGAGGAGGAGGAGGCAGAGGAGGAGGAGGAGGAGGAGGAGGACTAGAAGAAGAATAAGAATAATAAGAAGAATGAGACGAATAATAATAATAATAATAATAATAATAATAATAATAATAATAATAATAATAATAATGATAATAATAATAACAATAATAAGAATAATAAGAATAATATTAATAAGAAAAATAAGAATAATAATACAAATAATAATAATAATAGTAAGAAGCATAATAATAAGAATAAGAAGAATAATAAAATTAATAATAATAATAAGAAGAAGAAACATAATAAGAATAAGAAGAAGAAGAAGGAGGATGAGGAGGAGGGGGATGACGACGACCACGAAACGCCAGATGACGACGCCGACGGCACAGGCGGACCAGCTGCATGAGAACGCGCGGGCGCTCTTAAGAGCCACCTTGGCTCAAAACGCGCTGATTGGGGATACGGAGCCCTGACGGCATTTTTTCCCCAAACCTTTCGTTGTTGGGTTCTCGTTTTCCTCCTCCTTCCCGCCTTACTCCCCCTCTTCTGCTTCCTCTCTTTACTCCTCCTCTCCTCTCCTGCCTTCTGCTTGGCTTGCGCCTGTCTGCCAGCCGGCTCCTACCTCGAAGGCTGCTGGGGGGTCCAGCGGAATGGCGCCCCACGCGGACCTGACCAAAACCAGTCCTCGCCATCTTTGGGGGGCTGCCACCACAGTCGAAGGCAGCTGGGGGAAAAAAAAGGCTCAGTGGGGTGGCGCCCCGCGCGGACCCCGATTAAGCCTCGCCATCCCTCGGGGGGGGGGAGAGGGAAGGGGGGTCGTCATCTGCGAATCTGCCGCCACGTTCGAGGGCTGCTTGGGGGTCCAGCGGGATGACGCCCCGCGCGGACCTCGATTAGACCTCGCCGCCTCATGGGGGCTGCGATCTGCGAGACCGTCGCCACTTTCGAAGGTGGCTGGGGGGTCCAGCGGGGCAGCGCCCCACGCGGACTTACACCACACCTCGCCGTCCCAGGGGAACCAGACCGCGATGCCGTCGCCACCTTCGAGGGGGTCCAACGGAATGACGCCCCATGCGGGCGTACATTCGGCCTCGCCATCCCGGGGGGGGGGAGGGCGAAGAGCTGCGATCTGCGAAACCGTCGCCACTTTCGAAGGCTACTGGGGGGTCCAACGGGGTGACGCCTCCCCACGCGGACCGATATTAAACCTCGCCGCCCCTGGGGGGGGGGGATCTGCGGAAGTGTGGCCACTTCCGAAGGACGCTGAGGGGTCCAACTGGGTGACGCACCGCGCCGTTCGACACTAGACATCTCCATGCCTGGGCGGTTGCGATCTGCGAGCCTGCCGCCACTTTTGGCGGCTGCTGGGGGCCCAATGGGGGTGGCACCCCGCGCGGACCTCGATACGAGATCGCCATTATTTGGGGGGCTGCGATTTGCGAAGCCGTCGGCACTTTCGGGGGCTGCTGGGGGGCGCAGCGGGGCGACGTCCCATGCGGACCCAGCAGCGACCTCGCCATGCCTGGGGGCTGCGATCTGTGAGCGCATCGCCACTTTCGAGGGCTGCTGGGGGAGGGGGGGGCGCCACTCCTGGGGGGCCGCAGCCAGCGAAACACTGTCGCCTGCTGGGGGGTCCAGCGGAACGACGCCCCGCGGGTTCCCAAGACCTGGCGGCGCGCCTGGCGGGCGTTCGGCTCCCGCGCTGCGCGGTGCAGGGATGAAGCGGGGGCACCTGGTGGGCGAGGCCGGCCTCGCCTGCTTCCTGCACGAGCCGTGAACGGCTGATCCTCTGGAGCGTCGAGCGACGTGGCGCGGGCCGCGCTGCTTCGTCCAGCGTGCCACTGGGAAGCGGCCGCCACCCTCTGTCCTTATACTGCTTCGTCTGGTGTCGTCCCCTTCCTGCTTCGCGATCTCGCTGCTGCGGTCGCGATCACTTCGCGGACCCTCTTCCGTCCTTCTCTTGCCCCTCGTTCCCACCCCCACTTCCTCTCCGAGCCTCGGGTCTGAGTCCTCAACTTAGTTTGCTGTTCTGTGAATCGGGCGACGCGCGCACTCTTCACATGGCTTGCACAACTGATGGCATATCCTGTGTTGTCATCTGCCAACGTATTGTGGACCTGTTCCTCTTGCCACCTCGTATAAAAGGGGTTGGCAGTCGTCTTAACAGCTTGAAGCAGTTTCGAGGATGGAAGGCAAGCCCTTTTCAACATGTGACTCTCGCCTCAGCGCCGCGCATATTCGTTTGTATGGGTCAAACCCCAAGAATGAAGTTCTGGCACCATTGAGGATTGTCAGGGCGCGAACTTATTGATGATTCGCGGTGCTGAAGTCCCAAGAATGGTGTTCTGGCGCGGTTCTTCCAAAGGGGCACCTCCCTCAGTAAATCTGCATTCTTGCAGGGAACTGTGAAGACGGAGTCGGAGGGAGGGTTTATTGCAGCATCGTTGTTTCGTCCTGGGTTTACACAGGTCCTTCTTTTCTTAGGCAGGCTGCAAGGCGACTCTCCATCTGAAGCGTCAGCAGGCCCGCGCGCCGAACGTGCAGGCAGAGAAGGCAATTCGCCTCGGGCACCGTGCGGGCGGTCGTGACAAAGATGCGAGAGGTGGAATGGCGGACACGAAAAACATTACCTCCCCCCTAAGCTGGCTTCCACTTCTCGGGTCCCAGAGTTCCGACGTCCTGATTCTTTCGTGACGTCGACCCCCGAGGTCTCGACCCATTCCCTGGGACCGGTTTTTCATCCCGAATCGTTTTCTGCGAGGCCCCGTAAGGGCCCTAAAGACGAAACACGGCGAAAAACCTCCCGTCGTGATTTTAATGACTCGATGGGGTCGGGGCTGGTCCTCCTCCTTCTCCTCCTCTTCCTCCTCCTTCTCTTCCTCCTCCTCCTCATTAGCGCCCCTCTAACGGGGACTCCGCTAGCGGGTACTTTGGCCAGTGACCCGGCGAACCCAACCCTCCCCGATGTGGGCAACGCTGCAATCCCAGAAAAAAGACCCAAACCGGCAACCTTCGGCAGATTTCCACAGAGCACCCGCTTCGTGAGTGCCCGTTACGGTACTGCGAACCTCAGCGCCTCGGGCCGCGCCCAGCCCGAAGCGCCCCGCGCCCGCGCCGACCCCCGCGGCGCCCGCGCCGCGCCCGCGCCACAGCGGCATCCCCCCCCCTGCCCCGCCGGCGCTTGGGGCGAGGGGCGGGGCGGCGGCCCCGTCGGCCCGAGGCCTCAGGGCGGCTGCGCTCGGACAGGGACGGACGAAACTGCATACACCCCTGCCTAGATTTTTTTGTTATAATAATACAACACCCAAGAGGCCCAAAAGAGGCCACAAGAGGCCCCCAAACGGCCCCCAAGAGGCATCAAAACTGCCTCCAAGAGACCCCCGAGAGGCCACCCACGAGATCCCAACGAACGTCCGATAGGATTCACACCCACAACCCAAGCACGGTGGTAGGACTTGCCGTAAGCAGCTGGATCCGCCGCCTCCTGTCGATTCATCACAGGGGTGCCTGGCGTGCTGGACCCTCTTTGGTTTTGGTCTTGGTTCTTTTTCCAGAAGAACTCCCCCTGGGGCTCCGGCACGTCCCGCCGGCCACCCGGAAAGGCGCACACGCTCAGGCCCAAGCCTAAACCCACACACACGCCCACACCCACGCCCACGCCCACACCCACGCCCACGCCCACGCTCACACCCATGCCCAGGCCCAGGCCCACGCCCGCGCCCACGCCCACGCCCACGCCCACGCCCACGCTCACACGCACGCCCACGCCCACGCCCACACCCGCGCCCACGCCCACGCCCACGCCCACGCCCACGCCCTCGCCCTCGCCCACGCCCAGGCCCACACCCACGCCCACGCCGGCGCCAGCGCAGGCCCAGGGGGGGGCGGTTCCAGACCACCCCCCTCCAAGCGCCAACGCCCACGCCCACGCCCAAGCCCACACCGACAGCCACGCCTACACCGACGCACACGCCCACACCTACGCCCACGCGTACGCCCACGCCCACACCCAAGCCCAGGCCCACGCCCACGCCCGCGTCCACGCCCACGCCCACGCCCACGCCCACGTCAAGGGTCACACGCACGCCCACGCCCACACCCGCGCCCACGCTCACGCCCACGCCCGCTCCCACGCCCACGCCCACGCCCACGCCCACGCCCACGCCCACGCCCACGCCCACGCCCACGCCCACACCACGCCCACGCCCACGCCAGCGGGTCCGGGGGGGGGGGGGGCGGTCTTCACCCACGCCAAGGCCCACGCCCACGCCCTCGCCCACGCCCGCGCCCACGCCAACGCTCACATGTACGCCCACACCCGCGCCCAAGTCCACGCCCACGCTCACATGTAGGCTCACGCCCACAACCGCGCCCACGCCCACGCCCACACCCACGCCCAGGCCCACGCCCACGCCCAGGCCCACGCCCACGCCCACGCCTGCGCCCGCGCCCGCGCCCACGCCCACGCGCACTCCCGCGCTCACGCCCAGGCCCAGGCCTACACCCACGCCCACGCCGGCGCAGGCCAGGGGGGCGGGGGGGTCCAGAGCCCCCCCCTCCGAGCGCCCACAGCACGCGCTCTTTCTCAAACAAGAACCCACAATGAGATGCTGGCTACGGGGAAAGGTTTGGGCCTTCCAGGGGCTCTGTATTGAAGAAACCAAGACGTCGGATCTCACAAATTTCGCGCGTGTGTGCAGCCCGCTCTCGCTCTACCGCGTTGGACCGTTTCCACCGCCGCTGGACTAAAACGTGCGATCCCCCTCATACTCTTCTGTCCCGTCCTTCTGTTCCTGATCCACGGTCCCTCCTTCTCTTCCTCTTCCCGCAACCGAAAGCGGGGGCCAGTCCTTGCTCGGCGAGGGGTGCTGGTCGGTGCGCGGGGAACCCTGGGGAGCGGTGAGAAGAAGACCACCCACAATGCACATTCTGCCGTACTCTCGTCACTCTGCCGATCCTTGTCGTCGACGCCGCCGCCGTCGCCGTCGCCGCCGCCGTCGTTGTCTGCTCCCTCTTCCGTGTTGTTGCTGCTGCTCCTCTTACCCCTGCTCTTCCTACTACTCTGCTCCTTTCTTCTTTTCTTGCCCCCTGGGCCCAGGTCAGCATACTGACGGCCGTTGGGTTTATGGTGTACGGTTGTGGTTGCCAATGCCCGCTTCGTTTTGTGCAGGGTAATAGCTTCCGCAATAAACGATGGAACAAGCTGATTGCGAAAGCGTACCACGTAACTATCTGGCATTGGATGCCATGTTTGTGACCAACTACTACGGCCTCTAAGTACCAAGCGGCTGCTGAACAATCGCCTGCCTGGGTGCCGCCGTCGGCGTGCAGCAACAATCTAGGATTAATTAAACCAACATCGCCTGACATAGGAAAACGGTGGTATCACGATCTGCGCTAATCCATCGTATGGTTCACCTGATACTCCTCTATATTCTCCAGCTCCCGCAAACCCCAATGGATCGCGTCGTCGTTGTCTCGTGCAACTTTTCAGCCTGTGTCCAACACTTTCGAGATATGTTGGGAAACTCTGACAAACAAGGGTTTGGGTTGATGACCGGTCAGTGCAATTTCCCCGTTCGCTACGCCAACCAATGGTTGGCAATCAGTGGCTATTTTGAATCTGCGCGGCCCGCTTTGGATCGGCAACTTCGGCGCCCCTTCCACATGTTGGTCGGGCAACTCCTCCAACTCATGTTCGGCTGGTCGCCGGCGCTTCGGTGCAGCGCCGTAGCTGGCGACGTGTTCCGTCGGGCAAGAATCCCGCTGTGCGTAAAATGTGCCCCATGCGGTGCAGATGCGCTGCTCGAACTCTGGATACATCTTCATCTAATCCGAAGGAGAACAGCATGTGTCACGTAGTCTGGCCAAGTCGTGGCAAACGATGAAACAACATCCTCCCATTCCACCCAGTGCCCGCTGCCAGAATGTATGTGGCCTTCGTGACGACGACGACGACGACGTTTAAACATAGAAATACCATTTCCTGTTTCCCAATACCTCCTGCAACGATACATACGGACCTGCTCTAAATACTTGTTGCCGTTCTGCGGCTGCAATGCTCTTTCACGCAATGCTCCTGTGACGACCTCACAGAGAACTCTGCAACGTCAAACCGTGTGGCAAATCTGCTACGGGCACCGCCTCTGTCCCCTCCTCTCCTCCCCTCTCCCCATCTCCATTCCCCTCCACCCTCGCATCCCCCTCCCATCCTATCCCTCCCCCCCCCCGTCCCTGCCTCTTCAACCCTCGCCAGCGCGAGTGCGAGCGGCCGCTATGGCGAGGTTTCAAAAAGACCAATGGGAGATCCAAAATTGCACCGCTCTGCTTCCGATGGCCACTCTGCTCTGGATGGTGGCCGCAATATGACGACGGGACCCTCAGTGACCTCCTTCGTCTCCTCCTCCTCCTCGATGCTGTTCCTTCTCTCGTTCTGCCACTTGCTGTCAGCCTCCTGTCTCTCCAACCCTGTTTCCTTTCTGTCTGTTGTCTAAGAGAGGGGGGGGGGGCAACGGCGCTAACGAAACGTGTGCGTTTGTATGTGTGTGTGGTTGTGTGTGTTTATGTCGCGCTTGAGGACCCTGTGCGCCTCTGACTCGACAGTGTCTGTTTATGTTAGTGTGTGTGTGTGTGTGTGCGTGCGTGTGTGTGTGTGTGTGTGTGTGTGTGTCTGTGTGTGTGTGTGTGAGTGTATCGTTTCTGCAGATTACGGCTGCTGCATGCTCTGTGTTGTAGTTTGGGGGCTGTGCCTTTGCTCATACATCAGAATTGGGTGTAGTTGCTGAATTTGATATGCTATAGATGTCACGCGCACGTATGTTTCCAGGCCTCTCTGTGTTTGTGTTGCCTGTCCTCACGTTTTATTGCATGTTGTCTTTTTGTGGTCAAATTTTCTCTTGGCAGAGCTGCCTGGCGCCTCACGTTTTGTCGATGCCAGCGTCGCCTAGGCAACAACTGACGTTGAAATACATGCCACGCTAGTCAGGCCAGGCACTGAACAACCATACCTGTGTTTGGACAATTGCGACTTTGTTGCAACATCAGAATGGTCCTTTGTTTCTTGGATGTGATGCCTTTCGACGCTGCCGAGATCTCTTGGACGACGGTCTTGTTGGTATGTTCTTGAGTTTTGGTCTAAGTGGCTTCTTGGGTGTGCAACGTGGTTCTGGAAGGGGTACTCGAAGTGCTCTCGCGGGACCTCGGGTGGAACCTCACGGACCACAAGGGCCTCATGTGCAGGTGCTTGGGCTATCTCTCATCCTTTCAGTGTCTTGGTGTCGGGCTCGGAGCCGAGGGCCTGCCTCTCGGTATACCGCAGACGCTATAGTACGCATCCACGGCCAATCCTCTTGGCACGATGTGGGCGGCCACGACTCATCCTTCTGTTGGTTATTCTTTTGCGTGGCCGGTACCAAGTTGGTTGCGGGGCTTCCATTCAAGAGCAAGCTGACGAATGCATGTGTATCCTATCCAAGCTCAACCCCGACTTCTCCCGAAAACAAAATGCTGCGCTTACACCTTCAAGATATGCTATCGTAAACGGACTTTGGGGATAGACAGATAATCTGAACCTTGGTGTTATATCAAACAAAGGACCGAATTCGGTGTCTCTTCGACGTATCCTAGTTCCAGCTCTTTGGCAGATAGTTGCACCCATGGCATCGAAAGTGCTTCTATCATCTATGTCGCTCTTCCAGCAAACGTTGATCAGACTGCTCGAAGTTCTTAAGGCGAATGTTCCTCCTGACTTACAGCGTGTTGCCGTGGCCGTCTCCATAGCGCTTTCTATATGGGACAAAAGGTCGTAGGCTACAACATTGTGCTGTTCGCTTGGCAAGGGGTCTCCTGACTCATCTGTGGGAAGTATAGCAGCGGCCTGTTGCTAGACATATTTTCCATTGTCTGGTGCTGGTTCGTTTCCTTCAAATTCATGACCAATGTATTTCGGGACGCTGGAATGATACCAACCGTGGGTTCGCCAACTCGGCTCCAGGGCCCCATACATCGGACAAGGAGCTTGTATGTGCACGTGGACATGTAATGGGGCATCCTCGAAGATTCGGGAGCATGTTCGAGGTCTCCATCGGGTCTGAGTGTGCCTCCCTACTCCTGCTACTGCTCGGTTCAGAAAACTATTATCAAATAGTGCTGATGGACTACTCTTTCTTGTGTTGACGACGGCTCCGAATGCCGTGGCCAAAGCTGTTGAATCCGCGCGCGTCCAGTTTTGCAGGCCAGAGGCCAATGGATTGGGCTCGACGAATATTACATGTCAAACTCATGTGGGACAACGCTCACATCGACGTCGTCGGAATCGTCGTTTGTGTCGGCGCCCAGAGGATAGATGGGGAGGAACTCAGGGAGGCACGACTTTCGAGGGGTGATCGCATGGAGAGGCTCATGATGCGTTCTATGGGCTTTGGGAAATAACTTGCTGCACGGCGGTTTTGGCAAGGCGAGCTTCGCCGCCCCTTCTCCCCTCGCGCGCGAATTTGTCCTGGCGCGTCAGGCTGGGCGCACGGGAGAGTTTGGACCGCTGGATGTATATGGCTGCTCCCCACTGTTGTTCGGTCGGTGGGCGGCTTTGAAGCCGCGTGAGATAATATGGCAACGTCATCGCGCACGGTATCACAACGGTTTTGATCAGCTATACCTCATCTGGCAGCTTGCGGTTACCCCACCACACTACCAACACATACATACACACACATATATATATGTACACATATACCTATATATGTGTATATATATATATATAGATATCTCAAACATGCAATGTTGTCTGGGGGAATACCTACGTATGACGGGTTATCCGAGGCCTGGTCCTACACACGTTACGCGCAAACCTTCTGCTAAGAAATTAAATTGAGATCCAGTGTCGCTGAACTTCTTAGCCCGCTTGCGAGGGCCAGCTTTGACGCGTGCAGTTTCTCAGCGCAGCGCGGCGCCAGTGTTGGTGGTTGTGATAGAGATTGTGCTGGTGACGATGCCGATTGCGCGGGGCCTGGGGCTCTTCAACGATGTATGAAACACAACATGCAGGAACATGCGGAGAAAGATGTGGCTGGGGATCTCGAGGAAGGTCGGCGGGAAATCTGAAGGAAGATCTGGAGCAAGATCCGGGGAATATCTACAGTAGAGGAGAGATCTCGAGGACGACCCTGGTGAAGATCTGGGTAAAGAGCTGGACGAAGATTTGGAGAAGTTCTGGGGGAAGATCTGGGGAAAGATCTTGAGAAACATCTGGTGGAAGATCTGGGGGGTATCTAGAAGGGAGATCTCGAGGAAGACCCGGGTGAAGATCTGGGTGAAGATCTGGGTGAAGATCTAGGGGGAGATCTGGGTGAAGATCCGGGGTAATATCTGGAGGAGAATCTGGAACAAATCAGGAGGAAGATCTAGACGGGAGATCTCGGGGAAGATCTGGGTGGATGTCTGGGGGGAGATCTGAAGAAGATCTGGGGGGAATTCTGGTGGAAGATTTGGAGACAAATCTGAGGGAAGATCTGGAGGAGAGATCTCGGGGAAGATCTGGGTGAAGATCAGGGGGAAGATCTGGGAAAGATCTGGAGGAAAATATGGAGACACATCTGGAGGAGAGATCTCGAGGAAGATCTGGGCAAAGATCTGGTTAAAGATCAGGATAAGATTTTTTGGAGGATCTGGGGGAAGATCTGGAAAACCATCTGGTGGAGGATCTGGAGGAGAGATCTTGGGAAAGATCTGGGTGAAGATCTGGGTGAAGATCTTGACGAAGATCTGGGGCAGACCTGGAAGAAAATCAGGGGGAGAGAATAGGGGGAAGATCTGGAGGAGAGATCTCGGGGAAACTCTGGGTGAAGATCTGAGGGAAAATCTGGAGAAGATCTGGGGCAAGATCCGGAGGAAG